GAAAATCAGAATTTTTAGAGCAATACACGAATTATAGTGATTATAGCAAAAACGGGTTGCAACACGATTTTCAATAATTCATATTTTACAATATATACATATCGAAACGACACAAGGCCAAAGCCGTTGCGTCAAGAACATTCCTAAATCCAATAATCCACAACACTTCCACAGAAAATACTACATTAACCTCAGTTCGACAGTTTTTTCAAAGTGACGACAATCACTTTGATATTCAAATGGCAATTAAATATATCAATAATTCACAATTATTTATCTAAGGCACAAATTAGTTTAAAACTCAAACGTTCAACAATAATAACACATAAACGAACACCTAAACACATATATGAGAGAAATAAAAAAGTCGAGAGTTAACCCGGGTACCGTTCTCGGGAATTTGCACAATGAGACGACTCGGATAAAAGTTCAATTGTGGGTTGAAGCTTCTTTTGGATGTCCTTGCTTGGGCCCAAACCAACACTCATCTATTAAGCTATGATGTTGAAAATTGGAGCCCAAAATCACCAAAGCCCAAATTAATTCCCTAAGGCCCAAACTCTTTTATTTATTTTTTTTCTTTTTCCTTTTCTTTTCCTTTCCTTTCTTTCTCTTTCCCTTTTCTTTCTCCGTCACTTCGTTTTTCCTCTTTCTCTCAAACATTTTGCATCGTCTCCTCTCAAAATTCCAACAACAAAATCGAAATCGGTCAATCCATTCAATGATCTTCATCCAATTTCTCCTCCTCCTCAAATATTGCTTTTTACCTTCATCAATTTCTGAAAATTTTACGGATACGCCCATATCTCACGGCGCGGAGATCGGAGGCGGCGGCCTGTACTCGACGTTGGTCGGATAGGCCATGGTCAGCGGCTTTTCGACGAAGGGCGCGGTACCTCGGCCTGATGGGAGTTCGCGGCTACTGTTCGCGAATGGGCTGTCGAAGATGTTCGCTTGCCGAGGCTAGGGATGCAGCGAATCGCGACTTTCCTTAACGGGGCGCAACTAAGGTTTATGGCAGTTTGGGTGGCTCTCCAGCGTGGGGCTGTTGGTACGCGGGTGGTCGTCGGGAATTTCGAGCGAACGGCTTCCCGCATCTGTCAACATGAGATGCGAGAGGCTTGGTTTGCTGCTCGTGGAGGTCGGGAGCGGCTGCTCACGTGTTCTCGGTGTTTTGATCTCCTCGAACGTCAACGGAAGGAGGTGGAAAGGTTCGCGGGACTGAGGTTCTGTTCGAACAGGGAGTCGCCGGGAAGTGGGGCTCTCGGCGATGAACGGGCTGTACGAAAGTGCCGGGGTATACTCGCGTGGGGTCTGTCTGCTGGTTGCCGAGGGTGAGGGCTGTGACGGGAACTCGAAAAAACAGAGCAAGTTC